GCCTGTATCCTTCCATTCCGACACTATATACTACACTGACAAATAAAACATATGATACAGTTGCTCACCACCCACTGACCGATACACAGACAGGTCCTGAGCAACGAGAGTCAGAGCCAGAGAGACTGAGAGCTGGACACCAAGAGTGATCGCAGCAGAGTCCAAGCGACCCTACAAGCAACAGGACGACTGAGAAAGCCAACCGACCCACCAACTTACTAATGAACGCACAACTGAACAAGCTAAATGAACAAGCAAGCCATGGGCCCCCAGCCCGCTCCCAGCTGATATCCTGAGCATGATGTGCTATGGAATGAATTACTCCTTTGGTTAGTTTGGGTTAACTGTCTGAACTCTCTGTGTGTGTGTGTCCCACTGCTTGTAATGAGAAAGTTGGAAACACAGCTGCAGTACCAGAAACTGGAAAAGACCTTGAATTCACGAATTCACAGAGTGGTAGGGGGTGGAAGGGACCTCTAGAGATCATCTAGTCCAACCCCTCTGCCAGAGCAGGATGCCCTAGAGTAGATCACACAGGAACAAGTCCAGGGGCTTTGGAAAGTCTCCAGGGAAGGAGACTCCACCACCTCTGGGCAGCCTGTTCAGGGCTCTGTCACCCTCACAGGGAAGAAGGTTTCCTCATGGTCAGGTTGAACATGAGGTGCAATTGGTGCAAGCTCTCCCCAGCACCAACTAACAAACTCTTTATCAGTACTATTCCCTGGGCAAATCCAAAACAGAGCTTCATGTGAAGCTCTTCATATTCACAGCCACTGGGAATAAAATTAACCCTGTCCTGACTAAAACCAGCACACCGGCTGAGCGCTCTCTGCCCAGCACAGCCATGGCATCAGGACTGGCACTTGCTGGTGCCCATCCCATGGGCTGAAGAAAAGAGGGAGTCTAAAAAACAGCTACATGGGGTCCTTACTCAGGATGGAGGAGAGTTGGGTGGGTCTGCCTTGGCCAGGCAGAGGCAGCAGCTGTGACTTTTGAGACACCTTGGTGTACTAACTTCAAAATAACTTTTATTTGTTTTATCTGATTCTACCTCCTTACCTGTCTCCAGGGTGAATGAAGTAGCATTTTAAAATATCATATTACTAGATTAAAAGAAAAGGCATAGGTTACAATCATTATAAAATCAGAATCTCTACCTGTCCCCAGTGGAGAAGAGTTTTTACTGATGTATAGTCTGGAAAATGAGCTAGGTATACATCCAGTCGGCTCTGTGGGAAAAAAAAGTATTTTTAAGTGAGTTGGGAATAACAAAAATCTGTGTAGGCAAAAAAGAAATATTTCTGTGTTATAACTGAAATATAAATTTTATGTTTCCGGTAGCTTTGTTCTGTTCAGAGTAAGGAGTAGCTTTTAAAGGTAAACCAGCTAACCACAACTTTAAAAAGGAAATACAGCTGGTCCAGTCAATTGCTTTTCTTTCCGTAAAGCTGTTGCAGGTCAGCAGAAAATGAGGCAGGAGTCACCTTTCTTTTGCAGACAAGACCACAAGTGATTCCTTCCTACCGGAGCCTCCATTGGGTTTAACACCCCAAAAACACTAAAAGAAATCTCCAAATAACTGCTGCTTTGAACAGTCTGTTTCACGCTTTCTTTTGTTTGTTTATATTCCTTTTTGTATCTCATTAGCTATCTCCAGGTGTCTAGGAAAACCAGAGACAGCTGTGACCTAGGGAGGCTGATGCACCCACCGCGTTCAAGTTCTTCTTGTTGTACCCGCCAATAAGGAAGATCTCGTTTTCACAGACTTCAGCTGTCAGGTCATTGCTGCACATCTTTGCAAGGATGGCGCTCTCCTTCCTCTCCACCAGAGTCAGCTGTTTTGTTCCAAATATTGTCTGTAGGAGCGCAAGGAAACAGGTGACAGCAGGTCCTGCAACACCCATGCCCTCTCCATGGGAACTGCTTGTCCCCAGCCACTGCCAACATGCAACTCCTCAGTATGGTTGTTGACACGTTTGGGCTAGCCAGTCTTTTGAGGAGGTTGACCCATGGTGGCACCTAGCTCCCAGAGCTGTGTGAAACCACCACTGTCCTTTCCACGCCATGCCGCTGTGCCCATCATACCGGTGCATCATCTCTAAAGTACCAGCTTCCAAAGCTCAGCCCAGGATGGCCAGACTCGTACCACTCATCTGCCACCTCTGTTGACAGAAGCTCCTCAAATGGAGTGTGTCCAAGGACAACACCAGCTCCCTTCTCCAGCCAGTGGAGCAAAAGGTGGAAGGGAGGTGGTGTGGGGCTGCTCTGAGCACATCCTGGGCTACGGGACTGGGGTGTGGTGAGATCAGTAAGTAAAACCATAAACAGGAATGGTAGTTATTGGTATTTTAAACATTGAAATCATGGTCTGCTCCACTGGGTGCAGAGGAACATCCCTGCTGTCTGGGATCTTGGGATTGCTCATCTCCCCATGTGTCTCTAACATCTGCTGCACGCATGGGCTCAGAGCACGGCGGCAGGGCAAGGGGAATGAATTGCCGAGAGCTCCTGGGTTTCGGTAGTGATAAGACACAAAGACCTCATGTACCTTCAGAACCACGTCTGGTAAAAACGCTATCTTTACCACAGGGCCTTTAACGTGATGGAAGGTGTAGAGAGGAGCCAGCGCAAAGGACAGTTTGATTTTCGCAGCCAGATGTGGCATGCTCGAAAATGCTATGAAACCTGAAAAGCAGCGAGAGATCACAACCCCAACAGTGAAAATGATCATCCCAGTTCTCCTGTTTGAGACACAGGGTCTGAACAAAATTAAATGCTCCTGGATGTGAGCACAGATGCGACAATCCCAAGAAGAAGGACCAAGAAGGCAAGTGGGGAAAGTGGGCAGATGGCCCCACACAGCCCTGCCCCCAGCTTTCTCCAGCTGGGACAGACATCGATGCCCTGCTCCTGTGGCACCCTGGCATCCCGCTCGCACTCCTCCTCCTCACTCACCCAGAGAGTTGCCCTGAGCATGGCCAACGTAGAACAGTTTCTCCTGCCCAGTTTGCCTTAGGATGAAGTCCACCATGGCGGGGAGATCATACATGGCCATCTCATGGAAGCTGGGGAGCAAGGGGAGAAGCTGGAGGAGATCATAGAATCATAGAATCA